GAAAGAAAGGAAGGGTAAAGTCTAGAGCAGTGATGGCGAACCTTTTGAGCTCGACGTGTCAGCATTTTGAAAAACCCTAACTTAACTCTGGTGCTGTGTCACATATAGAAATTTTTTGATCTTTGCAACCATAGTAAAACAAAGACTTATATTTTTGATATTTATTTTATATATTTAAATGCCATTTAACAAAGAAAAATCAACCAAAAAAATGAGTTCGCGTGTCACCTCTGACATGCGTGTCATAGGCTCACCATCGGGGCTCTAGGATGTGGCCTGGGAGGCCGAGGCTGGTGTCTGTAAAAGGCAAAGCTCTGGCTGCAAAGGAACCTAAATGAAAGAGACAGTCTCTGCCGCCGCTGTTCTCAGCCTGGCACAAACGTGCGCCTAGCCGGGGCTCATGTTGCCCGGGGCTGCATTATTAAATAACAAGATAGCGGCTGAGGCTGCCTGCCAAGGAGCATGGAGATTAAAACAGAACCGTGGAATTCAGGCCTTACCACCAAGGCGATGGGCCACGGCAAAGCCACGTGTGATGTGGGGTTCACAGGGCATGTGTGTCCCTGGCTGGGGGTGGACAGAGGACCACAGACTGATCAGGCTCTCTTTCTGGGTAGAGAGAGTCTTTCTGGATGCTTTTCTGCAAAGTAATCAGTTTAAGATTTTTTTTTTAAGCCTGTGTCCTGAGAAACCAGATTTTGGTAAAACTGTCACTTAACCAAAACACCCAGTGCTGTATGCGTGTGTGTGTGTGTGTGCGTGTGTGTGTGTGTGTGCATTGTGCATGTATGAAGTAAGTAGGCTGGCTGTACTTCTGATTTACTGATGACCGATCAGAAAATTTTTTTAATATCAAGGATCATTGCAAATATTTAAAACAATTTTTTAGGCCACACAGTAAACATAAAGTTAAGAACCTGTGCTTTGGAGTCAGACAAGTCTAGGTTTATACTCCTGGGTGCATACCCCAAAGAACTGAAACCAGAGGCTCGAACACAGGGTTTGTCCACCCATGTTCACAGCAGCATTACTCACAATCGCCAAAAGGTGGAAGTACCTAGCTGTCAATGATGGACGAATGGATAAACACCACGTGGTGTACACAGACATTACTCAGCCTTAAGAAGGAAGGGCATTCTGACACATGCCAAGACATGGGTGAACCTTGAGGACACGGTGCTAAGTGAAATAAGCCAGTCACAAAAGGACAAACACTGTGTGATTCCACTTCCAGGAGAAACCCAGAAGAGTCAGACTCACAGACAGAAAGTAAAATGGTGGTTTCCAGCGGCTGGGTGGAGAGGGAAATGGGGAGTCAGTGTTTAATGGGTACAGAGTTTTAAGCTAAGATGAGAAACCTGGAGACGGAGGGTGGTGATGGCTGCATGGCAATGTGAATGTACTTAATTGTGCTGAACTGCACATTTAGAAATGGTTAAAATGTGAACTGCATGTTAAATATATTTTACCACAATAAAAAACCAACAATCCCTCCGTAATAGCTGTGTGACCTTAAGCAAGTTACTTCCCCTCTCTGTGCCTGTTTCCTTATGATGACATGGGACTGGTGATAGCATTTATCTAAAAGGGCTGTGGTGAAGATTAAAAGAGATGGTGCCACAAGTCTGTTAGCACAGGAGCCTGCACATGAGAAGGAATTGTTGAATGTTGGTTTAAGACAGAAAATAACATCTCACACGCAACCTGGCTTTTCCCGATGAGCCACGAGAGAATTATGCACATCAGGTGTCACTCCGCAGAGGCAAGGACACTGAGCTCCAGTTATCAAAAGCTTTTCGTTTGTTTTTGATTGATTCCTGTTCTTACCTCATTATTTCTTCCTAGTGAATGTGAATCCCCCGTCCTGAGCACAGGAAACAGCAGGAAGCCGCACCTGGGCTAATTAATCCTCTTGGTCCCAGATCCCCACGTGTGAAACGAACTAGATTAAAACCAGTGGGTCCCGAAAACTGGAGTGAAGACTGGCCATGGCGCTGAAGTCACAGCAGTCACCCTGGGAGCTCGTTAAAAATACAGATTCCTGGGCCCCACTGCTGGGACCTGGCTGTGGCCATGGGGGAGGGAGGGAACTAAGCACATTGAAACTCTCCCCTAGTGATTCTGATTAGTAGTGTTAAACCCACCTGTCCCTGGCTCTTCCCCGTCCTGACACCCTGATCTCAACCTTGGCCACATCCGAGAATCACAGGGGGAGCTTAGAAAAACACCCTCTCTCCGGGCTCCCCCAGAAGAGCTTGTTGAATTGCTTTGCGAGAGGTCCCGGGACCAGGGATTTTAGGTGAGCGTCCAGGTGATGCTCCTGCGCGGCCCATGCGGCGCCCATGGTGCCAGAATCACCTGTGAATCCACAGTTGGGCCTCCACCAGAGTTTCTGATTCTGGAGGTCAGGATAGGGTAGAATGTACACTCCGAACAGGTTCCCTGGGGGTGCTGACGGTGCTGGATTGGAGCCCACACTCCGAGAACCTCTGTTCCAGAACCTGGCTGCCCAAGGTGTGGCTCTGCCCAGTCTCGGGGTGGGGGGGCTTCCCCTGGGAGCTTGTCACACCTGCGGGACCCAGTGGCCACCTGAGGCTGAAGCAGCCTGCAATGCGGGGCAGTGGGAGCACTTGGTAAAAACAACTCTGCTCCGGGGACCTCTGGGTTCCCGCTTTCATCTGGAGGGGAGGGAGGAAGGGGCCGCATTATTCCAGAGCTGGGAGGGTGCAGGCGGGTCAGCCCTGGGTGAGCAGGCCCGGCCGGGGCTCTGCCTTCTCGGTCTGACTGTGCGGGGACACCTCGCCCTTGTGTGCCCACGGTCAGCTCGGGCAGCACCGGTGGCCTTACCTTGGCGTGGTTGTAAATGTCCACGCAGTTGTCCGAGTTGATGCCTTTGGCACAGATAATCTCACAGTGTCGCTGCAGAGCCTCCAGCTGGAAAAATTTAGCAGCAGACAGAAGCTAAAAACCGTAAAAGAGCCTGTTAGAGGTTAGGTGGTGGAAGGTGAGGCAAACCCCCCTGCTCCACAGCGGTGTCCCGAGGTGACGGGCCTGGGAATGCTGTGGGTACGTCGTTTTCATTTTAAAGCGCGGAGGTGACGCCGGAGGAATGAGACACAGCGATGGAACACTATCATGGGGAAGGTGGCTCAGGGGAGGGGTGGGTGGGAGGGAACCAAACTCACATCTACTAGAGCAGCAGGTCAAGCAAAATGCCTAAAACGGTTCTGTCCCGAAATCAGGGTGAATGGTGTCAGTTAGCAAGATGGATATGGATGTGGCTGGCTCCCTGTTCATCTAGGACAACACTCAAGTATCAAACTCCTCCGAGAAGCCCCCCAGACCACCTCATCTCAGGTGGCCCGCCTCCATCTCCGCCTGTCCCCCACGACCCTTTCTCCTCCTCACAGCCCTTCTCACACCAGACATGATGTCATGCCCGTCGCCCTCCCCAGCGTCTGGGAGGACGGGGATCGCTGTCTGTTTGCATCAGTGCTGTGTCCCAGCCGGGCAAGTGGCCTGGCAGAAGTGTGCTGAGAGCTGAGGGGCGGACAGGTTTGGGGGAGGAGAAGAAAGAGCTAAAACACCAAAGGGACGCCTTTGGGGAAAGGCTTGGGGGTCGGGGGCTGGGTGAAATGCTTTTTTAAAACAAACCCTTCTGTATCATTTACATGATCTAAATCTATGCTCATTATTTTGATTTGAAAAGAATTTTTAAAAAAATGTTTACAGCCTGGCCGGTGTGGCTCCGTGGATTGAGCGTCGTCTGTCCACCAAGAGGTTGCTGGTTTGATTCCTAGTCAGGGCACATGCCTAGTGTGTGGGCTTGATTCTCAGTACGGGGTGTGCAGGAGGCAGCCAATTGATATTTTTTATTGATGTTTCTATCTCTCTCCCTCTCCCTCTCAAATCAATTAAAAGGGAAAAAACCCCCATAAAATTACACCAGGACTTGTACAATTGTGAAATAATTGAAGAAAATAAAAGTTTACAAAAGAGCCTGTGTCCTGAGACTGTAGCCTGGGGCTGAAGGAGAGGAGAAGGGTCAGAGGGGGGGTCCAGAGAGACAAGAGAGTAGCTTTTGGGGCGGGGGGCAGGGGACTGACCACCGAGGGCGTTTACAAAGCACTGCAATCCTGTTATTTCATTTACTCAGGAAACTTTCATGGAGAAAAGGATAAAGGGGCCACGCAGGGAGGACACTGCTCTATGGCACCCACTATGTGCCAGGCACTGCTCTAAGCACCTAATACTCAGGAACTCTTAAAATCCTAAATACCCAATGAGGTAGAATTATTACCCCCATTTTATAGGTGAGGAAACTGAGGCTCAGAGCAGTTAACACATTGTATGCGGGAAACGTGTACGTATTTATACGTTCTACCAGTGTACTAGAGCGCGGGACACGTATTCATCTCGGCCAGGGACCCTGGACTTCAGACACCTCAGTGGGGTCCTGTGTCTTGCTCAGGAGCAGAGTGATTTGGGCTTTTGGTTCAAAGCTTCCAACTTGGAATAGGAAAACCTACAAGGGTTCCACTTCGAGGAAGGAGGAGGGGAGGTCTTGGCCTCGGACAGAAAAGAGCAGGAATAGCTCTCCTGCCACGGGCTGAATCCCAGAGGCAGATGGGAGTGAGGGGCGGCTGGGGTGCTGGCGGGAGGTAGCAGGGGAGGTCTTGGCCTAGGACAGAAAAGAGCAGGAACAGGTCCCCTGCCATGGGCTGAATCCCCGAGGCAGACGGGAGTGAGGGGCGGTCTGGGTGCTGGCGGGAGTGAGGGGTGGTTGGGGTGCTGTGGGAATCAGGGGCCATCAACCTCAGTGAAGCCAGGATTGCTTCGTAACGGGCTCCCAGCTTCTGCTCAGGGCCAGAGCTGGGATTTGAAGGCTGTTTTTAGATGATATGATTCTCTTACAAATGACCAGGGACAAATCATCAAGGATAGTTCCTGATGAGGACATTGAGCCCCAGCTGTGCTTGGACACTCAGCCTCTTCAGTAAATTTCCTTTGCCCCCTCCCCTTCCCCAACCAGCCGCCAAGCCAGTTAAAACTGGGTTTCAGGGAAGGGGGTCTGCTAGTGCGCCAAGCACCCCACCCTTCCACGAGGAGTCAGGCAGGACCCCAAACCTGCATCCAAACGAAAACCCAACACGAGTGCTCCCAGGCCTGCTGACGTGTGCCATGACCCGAATTCACAGAGGTGCCTCTATCCCCCAGCGCCACTGCAGATGCCTCACCTCCATGATCTCGTTGTTTTTAATGAGCAGCGACTCCGGGCCACCGTAGTAGAGATACTGCATGACCAGCTGGAAGAAAGTACACAGTGTGCGAGGCGTCAGCCACACAGACACAGTCATCTTAAAGCTGCACTGAAATCAATTCATTCTCCCAGGACGTTAATAAAGGCCAAACCAACAATAACAATCCCGCGGGCTGTTGACAAAGCACTTCATCCTGTTATCTCCTTTACTCGGGCTGGGCCGTGGCCCGGAAACACTGCTTCTCCGTGGAGATCCCTGGCAAATGGCATTGAAACGAGGCTGCCCCACGGCCCCTTCAGACGCTGCCAGCACCAGCCTTTTCTGCAAGGGGGTGAAATGCACTGTCTTAGGCCGCAGGGCCTGGCTGCGGAGTTGTTTTTCTTGGCAGCTGTCAACCTGCATGAAGCCGGGATGCAAACGGCACACAGCCTCACGGAGGCCCCGCGTCCAGGTGCAGCCTCCGCTGCGTCTGGCTCCGGCCGCGTGTGATGTTAAGCGGGCGTGGAGAGAGGAACCGCAAGGCAGCCTCATTTACTAAACTCCTTCGGTCAGCATGGAAGTGAGGTGAACAGGCCCCTGGGAGCCTCCTCCTGGGTTGGATTCAGCCGTGGCCTATTTCAAGCCACAAATGAGGCTTTTCTTCTTTTATGGGGAAGGCGGGGCGCAGGCAAAAGCCCTGGGGGTGGGGGGGCTGCTCCCTGCCCCTCACAGGAGCTTGAGGCTCCTGTGGCCAGCAAGCCTTTCCCATCAGAAGCAATTACAGGCCTCCATTGCTCTGGGCTGTGCTTTGCCATGGATAGTCTCTTATTCCTCGAATCTGTTGAATTTGTTGAGTGCCGATTGGAAGACAGATTCTTGTTTTAGGAACCTCCCCAGTTAGTCCCAGGCCTAACGGTGTAAGTGCCCCCTTCCCGGCACCCAGAGAGCTGGGGACGAGTGCATGTTCCAGCATCTAGCTCCTGCTCCAGACTCTAACAGGCCTCGGCTTCTCTCCTCAGGCCGGGGTTGCTTTTAGGGAAGGGCCAGGTCGCCACCGCAGGGAGGCAGTGCAGAGAACAGGTCCGGGGGTCAGCCAGGCTTGGGTCTGAACCTCAGCTCCGCTGTGATGAGCGGTGGGCGGGTGCTGGGGCACATCCTGCCTGTAAGGTGGGGGAAGAGCTACTGGGAGGGGCAGCTGGGAGGGCCCAAGGCGATGGATGGCAGTGGTTCTCAGGGTGGTCCCTGGACCAGTAGTGTCAGCATCACCTGGGTTCTGGTACGACATGCACATTCTCGGGCCGCAGCCCAGGCTAACAGAATAGGGGATTCTGGGGGCGGGGCCTGGGAATCTGCATTGGAACGTGTTTTTTGTGTTTTCACAAGCCCCCTCTGCCCTGTGGGTATTTTGAAGCTAAGGTGTGAGAACCGCCGTAACTGAGAGTGCTGGGGTAATGGGAGGAGGATGGAGGCTCCCCAATGCTGATGCCTGGGCCTCGGCTCAGAGTCTGACTGAAATGGTCTGACTCACGGCCTGGTTACTGGGCGTTGTCAAAGCTCCCAGGTGACTCTAACATGCAGCCCAGGTGAGAATCACCGGCTTGGAGCCTTTCACATAGGCTCAAGGATACCAGTGCTCCCGCTTGGGAAGTGTACTCCAGAGCCAGACCTGCTGGTTCAAATCCTGGCTCTGGGACTTTATCTGCCCACTGTCCCCCTTTCTTAAGCCCTAAGCCTTCCTTCCTATGGCTCCCCAACTTCTCAGCTTTCAATCTTTCAGCTAACACCTCACCCAGGACGCCTTCCCCAATTCCCCTGGTCCGAGTTGTCACAGCACATCGGCTCACTCCTCCCTCTCAGCCCCCGTCACGTTATACTACAATGAAGTAATTACTCAGAGTTACCCCCTCTGGACTGGGAGTCCCCAGGAGAGGACTGTCTTTTACCCTGTGCCCTGGGTCCCAGCGCAGTGTCAGGCACATAGCAGGCGCTCAATTACCAGTGTAGGGGTGAATGGATGGCAAGTGGGAAGGGCAGTGTGAGGAGGGGGCCGGAGTGCAGGGGCCTGATGGTTTGTTGCAGCAGCTAATCCACAGGCCAAGGACTGGCCTTGGGCCCACCCAGCAGGGGCTCACCTGAAAGATGGGGTACTTCACGTAGCCGATCTCTATGCAGCTGCTGTCATTTGTCGGCTTGCTGGAGAGCAGCGCTTTGAACCTGAACAAGATCACAAAGAGAGAAGAGGACTCACAAGCACACCCACAGCCGGCAAGAAACTCGGCTCTTTTATCTCCCTGTCTCTGACAGACAGCAAGGACATCGCCACAGATTTCTTAGTTTAACCCTCCCCTCCCTGTAGGATATCGTAATCCAATCTGAAGTTAAACCTCAACTTAAAAGAACAGTGTTGTTCTAGCTCAGTGGTCGGCAAACTCAACAGAACCAAATAACAGTACAACGATTGAAAATTTCTTTTGAGAGCCAAATTTTTTAAACTTAAACTATATATATAGGTAGATAGATTGTTATTAACTTAATTAGGGTACTCCTAAGGCTTAGGAAGAGCCACATTCAAGAGGCCAAAGAGCCGCATGTGGCTCGCGAGCCGCAGTTTGCGGACCACTGCTCTAGCTGGTTTGGCTCAGTGGATAGAGCGTTGGCCTGTGGACTGAAGGGTCCCAGGTTCGATTCTGGTCAAAGGCACATGCCCGGGTTGTGGGATCAATCCCCAGTAAGGGGAGTACAGGAGGCAGCCAATCAATGATTCTCTCTCATCACTGATGTTTCTATCTCTCTCTCACTCTCCCTTCTCAATAAAAATATATTAAACAAGAAAAGGAAGAGAACGGTGTCAGTTTTCAAGCAGGTGATTAGAAAAGAGCGAATGCCTTTGAAAACCCATCTGTCCGGCAGGGCCCGTCACAAAGACTGCCTCCTCCAGGGAGCCTTCCTTGGATCCTTTGCTGCTCATGGAGTTTTCCAATCCCGCCTTCCCCCTCCCAAACAACCGCTGCTCCAGGCCGGCTGGGACCTGTGCCCTTTCTGCTTCTGCTGCATCCTCGGAGCCTGGGCCTGTCCGATGCATCCATCGTGGGTACTGAATCAACATCCGTTGACTCCCTGGGGCTCCCCCGTGGCTGACCTTCTGCCTGAGGTTTTAGATGCACTTTCCTGCCATCCACTAAGCTACATGCTCCTTAAGGGTAGAGAACCTGCCACTGAACACACTGATAATCTATTTAGGAATAAGCTCTGTCTTTCTTTTTTTAAAAATTAAACATTTAATCTTGAAATAATTATAGATTTTAGAAGACATGCAAAGATAGTTCCTGCTTACCCTTCATCCAGTCCCCCCTGCTGTTAACATCCTACACAGACAGCCATGTTCTCTTTGTCCAAACCAAGAAACAAACATCATCACGATATCGATCTGTTTTTTTCAATAGTATCATAACTGAGAGCTATGCAAGAGACGGCATGTTTTTCTTGTGGTGGCAAAGCAGACACGTGGGGTTTGCATTTTGTTTGGGGGGCACCGTGGGTGCCAGGCTGCTCTCAGGATCCAGGGAATGCTGGTCAGACGCATTCCTTAGCAAGAGTCCTGGAAGTAGGTTCTTACCCTGGGGCCTGCCTCTTCCTCATTTCAGCATCACTCTCTCCCTGGCCCAGCTCACTCCTCCTGGACAGGTCCTTGGACCACGTGGTTCCACATGGTCAACCTTCTCATCTCAGACCGAAAGGCGGAGGAAGGGCAGTGGCGGAGCTGGCTGAGGGTGCCAGACTGTTGTCCCCTCCACAGTCAGGGAAGAGGAAGGCTCACAGGACCCGTGTATTTCGGTGGCTTATGCCAAAGTTCCCTGACATGTGGAGGGCAGGCCTTTCCCGGCGGCCGTGTGTGAGGCTGTGCACGGCTCGAGGCACCTGGCGGGGGGAGTGCAAACCCAATCCACGCTCCTCCCACACGCTGCTCACGGAGCTCTCCCCACACCGGCCCTGTCTGCCTGGAGTCACAGGCACCGAGTCGCTGCTGTTTATGCCGATGGTTACCTACTATTCTTTTTTTTTATTGTAAGAAAAAAACACAGAACATGCCATTTACCATCTTAACCATTTTCAAGTGTATGGTAATGTTGATGTTGAGTATATTCCCATGGTTGCACAGCCAATCCTAGAACTCACCAGGTGCCATTAAACACTAACTCTCCCCCCCCCACTCCCCCCACTTTCCTCCCAGCCCCTGGCAACCACAGTTCTTTCTGTCTCTAAGGATTCGCCTCCTCTAGGACCACATATAAATGGAATCAAACAGCATTTGTCTTTTGTGACTGGCTTATTTCACTCTGCATAAGGTCCCCAAGGCTCATCTGTGTTGTAGCCCGTGTCCGAATTGCCCCCCTTTTCAAGGCTGAATAACACATGTGTACACCACACTGAGCTTATCCATTTGTCCACTGATGGACACCTGGGTTGCTTCTACCTGCTGGCTATTGTGAACAATGTTGCTATGATACAATGCACAAAGGCCCTGCACTCTTTTTTTGTTAATCCTCACCGAGGATATTTTTCCATTGATTTTTTTAGAGAGTGGAAGGGAGGAGGAGAGACAAAGAGAGAAACATGGACGTGAGAGAAACCCATCGATTGGTGGCCTCTCACACGCACCCTGACACAATCCTTCAGTCTGCAGGCCGATGCCCGATCCACTGAGCCAGACCGGCGAGGGCTGCTCTGTGCTCTTGAATCCTTGATTAGGAGAAGACAATCTGCCAGTCTGGCGGAGATACCCCCTGAATTGAACTTCAGGGCACAGTAAAAGCCCCAGCCACACTCGTAATTCACCTGCTCCCCAAGCGGACGGTACCTACCTCGGAGAGGCTGTAAATAACAGCACTCTGTGAGCATAAAACGGTCTTCCTTCCACCAGGAAGGTGACATCGGACATTTCTTTATTGTTGAGGAAATGAGGGTCTGGAAGAGGAAAGGGAAAAAAGGCAGCTTTAGCGGAGAGAAGGGTGAAGCTCGGATTCCAGGGGACGAAGTACTCATTGGTGAGGCAGGGACCACACGGGAGCAGAATCGATCAAAGGAACACTCACGTCACTGAAATCCAGTTTTTCGTAGGAAATCGTCATAGCTTATTCGTGATTCGAAGTGGCACTTCCCCACAGAAGACTGACCCACAGCCTGAGTTCAGGTGGCTCCCAGGTGTGAAAGGACACCTGCCCACCTGGCCTCGAAGACTGTCACCTGCCCTGGTTTCCCTCCTCTTCCCTGGCTCAGTGTCCTCCCTGCTGATAGAAGTGGGTGAGAAAAGCTGCCCCCTTGCCACCGTGTTCCAGGGTTTTTGAAGTCCAGGCTCTTCTTTCCCTGGGTCAGTGACAAATGAGCCAGTCCCCTGCCTCACCTCCAATCCTATCCTATATAATAAAAGGCTAATATGCAAATCGACCTAATGGTGGAATGACCGGTCACTATGATGCGCACTGACCACCAGGGGGCAGACGCTCAATGCAGGAGCTGCCCCTTGGTGGCCAGTGAGCTCCCATAGGGAGAGTGCCGCTCAGCCCCTCGGGCTCACGGCTGGCGAGTGCAGTGGTGGTGGCGGGAGCCTCTCCCGCCTCCATGGCAGTACTAAGGACATCTGACTGATGGCTTAGGCCAGGGGTGGGCAAACTTTTTGACTCGAGGGCCACAATGGGTTCTTAAACTGGACCGGAGGGCCGGAACAAAAGCATGGATGGAGTGTTTGTGTGAACTAATACATGTTAACACTGCTGCTGGTGAAGGAACGGAGGGGAGAGCAAGAGAACCCTCCGCTCTTTCGGCTCCGCGGATAGGATAGAACAGCCGAACGGGCCGGATCCAGCCCGTGGGCCGTAGTTTGCCCATGGCTGGTTTAGGCCCACTCCCATCATCAGTCAGACATCCCCCAAGGGCTCCTGGACTGCAAGAGGGTGCAGACTGGGCTGAGGGACCCCCCACCCTGAATGCACGAATTTCATGCAGCAGGCCTCTAGTAAGAACAGAAGATAGAACCAGTACTTATGGGGCACTCACGATGTGCCAGGCTCTGTGCACGCTGGTCTAACACATGTCAGCTCATTCATTCCTGGGGGGTAGGTGTGCATTTGAGGAAACTGAGGCACAGAAAGTTACAGTGACTTGCTCAAGCTGGTGACAGGTGGGGAAACCGCCTAGTGCAGCCTCATCACCACCATGTATCCGCTCTTTGCCTCTCCCCCCAACCTGCACACTCTGGGTGAGTGTGTGTGTGTGTGTGGGGGGGCGGGGGGGTGGCGGGGCAGACCATGCTTGTCCTTTCCACGTCCTTTCCTCTGTCTCTAGCACAGGAAGGCGGTAGAACTTGGGCTCTCAAGCCAGAAATCTCAGTGACCTTTGGCAAGTTATTGAGCCACTTCGTGCCTCAGTTTCCACTCCTGTAAAATGGGAATAGTAATATCCATTATATCCCGACATCCTAGAGTCATAGTGAGCATTACATGAATTAATTCATGTGAAGCATAAATTAATGGCTGACACATACTGTCCCTCAGGGTTAGCAGAACATCTAGATGCTCAATTGACATTTTCTGAAAGAATGAAAGCATGCTCTGGCCATTGCTTTAGAGTCATGTTGTTGGAGCTTGTCAAGGACATCGGGCCCCTGCTTAGCCTGGGGACCTGCTTGTTGTTGAAGGACCCTTCCCCAGGGGTTAAAGGTTTGCCCTGAAACGAAACCCAGCTGCTCCCTACCACTGGGTTTAGGCTGCTCTAAAGCATTGAGGGAGGGAGCCAACCCCCTGGGTTCCTGGGGACCGACCCCCAGCTATTGGGCCCACCCTGTCTGACTGCACCTTGAACCCCTGGCCTGGCCCCCAGTTTTGCCCAGACCTTGGACCCAGAACTGGCCTTCCTGGCTGATTCTCCTTACTCAGCCCTCAGCCCCTATGCTGCCCCAGATGGTGGTCCCTCCCTTATATTTTCTGCCATCTCTTCCCATTAAGAAATTTTAATTTAAAACATATCAGAAAAGCATAAAAAAGTCAAAATCACTTGTGATCCCACTATCTTCCAACATTTTTATTGCCTCCCCCCACCCCCCCCGTGCCCCAAACTTCTAAAACTATCCAGGCAAAAGGCAGTTAGGCTATAGAGGAAGGCCTCAGAGTGGACGGCCACTCCTCCACTTGCTTTAAAGGCTGTTAGCAGTTTGGAGTGACTTTCTCCCTCTTCTCAGCAACCTGCCTCCCTTTGCTCACTCTCTCTCACTCCCACTGTGCACCTCTAACCACCACCCTAGCCTGCTTCCTAAATTGCTAATATCGCCTCCCTTTAGCTCCTTTTACCATTCTCTCCCAGAATTCAATGAGATGGCAGGACAATGTATCACAAAAAATCAGGCGTGTGCTCGGCTGCTGGTCATAGTCCCTGCCACTCGCTATTGTCTTACACTGAGCCCATTTCACTCATTTATATGACCTGCCTGGCCTAGAGAGACGCCGGTGTGGGACCCTTGTCACTGATAAGTCTCATCTGTCTTTTAAAGTAGGTCCTTAAGGAACCAGTACTTGACAACCTTTAGTTATCCTAGCTTGGAATTCTGTACTGAAGATGCAAAACATTACATGTTCCCTATTCCTTTTATTGATAACTAGAGGCCTGGTGCACAAAAATTCGTGCACTCAAGGGTAGGGAGCATCCCTCAGCATGGTCTGTGCCCTCTCGAAGTCCAGAATCCCTCGGGGGATGTCTGACTGATGGGTTAGGCCCACTCTCCCGGGGGATCAGGCCTAAGCTGGCAGTCAGACAGCCCTCTGGCAACATGGGAGCCCTCGGGGGATGTCTGACTAATGGCTTAGGCCTGCTCCTCGCCTAAGCCATTAGTCGGACATCCTTAGAGCTGCCATGGAGGTGGGAGAGGCTCCTGCCACTGCTGCTGCACTGGCCAGTTATGAGCCGGCTTTTGGCTGAGCAGCACTCCCCCTGTGGAAGCACACTAACCACCAGGGGGCAGCTCCTGCATTGAACATCTGCCCCAGGTGGTCAGTGAGCGTCATAGTAACCGGTCATTCGCTGTTAGGGACAATTTGCATATTACCCTTTTATTATATAGGATTATACATATATTCTTCCTCTTTCATATTTTGAGCTTTGAGCCTCTCAGGTCTGCCTTTCTTTTCTTGTTCTAACCCTTGGAATTCCAAGGCTTGGCAAGAAGACGAGGACCTTAAAATTGCTGATAGAAGAAATCTCAGCAAGTTCAGGAGGAAAAAAAACTCTTCCTTCCTCTCCTATAGCTACAGGAAAGCAGAATTTATGCTGTGTCATTCAAACAGCTCTTGCAAATATTCACTCTAACAAGGGTGTCTTGTAAGACACCTAGATGTCAGATTATTGCTACGTGGTAAAGGCTCTTTATTTGATTGGTCCTTATAATTTGTTGCACTTAGAATATCTTAATTAATACCTGTTTTCTACAAGGTGTTAATTACTTGTGGTTTGGGTACATCCTGGTTGGCTCACAGGTGTAAAGAACAGACAACCAGTGGCTCAGCTACATTCTCCATGTAGCAAAAAGTCGTGTCACTGAAATTCACCAGTTATTCATGACAGACACAGAAGTACTTTCAAACACGTGTATGAATTCAGCCTTCTCACTCATTTAAACTAGCTCACCTGTTTCAAAAGTGGTAGTTTTGCTAAAGAGTAGAATTTTCAGATGGTTCCATTGATCAAATGTTTCCCAGTCTCTGCAGGAAAAGGAGCGGGGAAGCAGGAAAGCCCCCCAATCACCATTGGAAAAGGAACCCTTCCATATTGATATTAAAGCAGCTTTAATATTTTATGACTCCCCGTGCAGCCAGGAGACAGGCCGCTGTAACAGGAGGCTCATGGGTCAGGTTTCAAGGCCGCCGAGTATTTCTTTTCCCTTTTTTTTTCTGGGCCAGTCAACCGGCTGCAGCAGCCCCAGGATCCTCCGAATGAAATCAGTGCCTGATGGAAAGGTTTCTTCTGGAAAATCCCAGAAGCTGAAACCGCAGGAGGATGGGATTACGACTTCAGGGGGGAACCCGGTGCAGACTCCCAGTGCCTGCCTCCTGGGGTGGCCTGAGGATGACTTGAGATAGGGTCGGCCATGGGCTCGGCTGGGGCGGCTCAATGCAAGCGTCTGAGAAGAACAGAAGTGAGGACTGCTGCTCTGCTGGGAGTCAGGGCATCCGGTCTCCTCAGCTCAGGTATGTTCCCCTCGTGTGTGTGTGTGTGTGTGTGTGTGTGTGTGTGTGTGTGTGTTTGGGGGGGGTATGGGTAGGTTGGGCGGGGGTGGTCTGGTTCCCCTCCCCTCCTGGCTGCTTCCACTGGACTCCATTAGAGAAACACCATGGCCTGTCCCTGTCCTCTGCTCGTCCCTCCTCAGGGGGCACTGGGGAGACCTGCCGCGCACAGCTCGGGCTTCTTTTATTATTTTTTACTCCAATATTAGTTTTATTATACTTTAAAAAACAACAAAATTTCTACTTATGAGACTCTCACTCCCCCTCCCCTCCCCTTTAACACTTCCCACTTTATTACGTTCAATATTGTGTATTAGTTTCAGGTACAGCGTAGTGGTTAGAAAGACTTGCACCTTACAAAGAGGTCCCCCGGTATTTCCAGTGCCCACCTGGCCCCGTACATGGTTATTACCCCATGCCCTGTGCTGTGCTGTCTCCAGGACTGTTTGGTAACTGCCAGTTTGTACTTCTTAATCCCTCAATGTCTTTCACCCAGTCCCCCAACCCCTCTTCCCTCCAGCAACCACCAGTCTGTTCTCTACATCTCTGAGTCTGTTTCTGTCTTGTTTGTTTATTTTGCTCTTTTGATTCCACATGTAAGTGAAATCATATGGTATGTGTCTTTCTCTGACTAGTATATTTCACTTCGCATAATAGCCTCTAGGTTCATGCATCCCGTTGCACATGATAAGACTTTGTTCTTTTTTATGGCTGAGTAATATTCCATTGCCTAGATGTACCACAGCTTTTTTTTTTTTTTAAAAAAATCTACTTATCTATTGATGGGCACTTGAGTTGCTTTTAGAACCTCCCTGTCTGCAGGGTCCAGAGACCTTCTTGCTGCCACTGCCTGTAATCTTTCAGTGATAACAAGAAGGTATTGGTGAATCTCCTCTTCCTCTAACTGAAAGGTTACAGGCAGTGAAAGGTAGATGCTCTGATATACCTTTTCCTAAGGTACAGCCTTCAGTCTTATCACATAATCAAGGTGCTATCCTGACCTCCGCCTGCCTGACTCCCGGACCTATCTTGTCGGCCCTCGAATATTCCCCACCCTTCCTTACAGCGTTTGCTTCTTCCCCGTCTTGAAATCACAAAGCAACACCCCTGGCAGGGCAGGGCCCGTGACACACTCACCCAGGCGCGAGGTCTGCTTCCGTTTGATCTCCGTGAGCTTGGGGATGGGGTAGGGCCCGTAGCAGTGAGTGAAGATGACACACAGCTGCTGGCTGATCACTTCATTCTGCGGAAAAGAGAGAACAGCTCACCTTGCTGGGGGCTGTGCACAACCTCAGGCCACTTGTTGCTGGGGACGCATTCCCCACGGGAGAGAAGCTCACAGACTTATCTCGGGCTCCAAGAGAAATCAATCCCCCTGGACATCACTCATCCTGTTTGCCCGGGCAGGCCCTGGAACTGCTAGCTTGTTTGTCTACTATTTCCATGGGTTCATGGGCAAAAGCTTAATTTGTAATTAAACCCTTTTCTCTTGCTGTAATCATTTCCTACCCCATGGGAAAGCAGGTTTTGTAACTCCTAGAATGGAAAATAGGTTTTTACCCCTAACCTACTTTTATCAATAGTCCAAAGTTCTGGAAGCCGCTAATTATCCTAGAAAGCCTTCCTGGTCCCGTGACTGTGTCGCTGCTGCGGAGATTCAGGTGGTCCTGATTCAGCAACGCCGCTGGCAGAGCAGGGCCCGTGAAACAAGTCCCCCTAGGTCAGTAGTCGGCAAACGGCGGCTCGTGAGCCACATGCGGCTCTTTGGCCCCTTGAGTGTGGCCACGAAGTTTCAATCGCACTGTACGTGCGCACCCGCACGTGGTATTTTGTGGAAGAGCCACACTCAAGGGGCCGCAGTTTGCCGACCACTGCCCTAGGAACTTGATTCTGGTGCTGAGGTCTTTCCGGAATAGGGGTGCTCGGCTGAATCATTTCTCCAAAAAAGAGGGGGGGGGGCAGGGGGAAAACTTCTGCGGTGCAGAATGTCAGCTGCCCCTGATTGCTCAGGGGCAAGGAGCCTGCTTCCACGGAGCTGCGGCCTCCGTGTTCTTCTTCCTCTTCCCCCGCGGGGCTCGCTGCTGCTCACAAGTCTCCCTCCAACCGCAGGTGCGCAGGAGGGAAGCCACGAATCACAGTGTTGGGGTGCTTTTCATTGAGTGAAGGGGTGGAAACTTGGGGCTTAAAGGGGCAGTTAGATAGACATTTACAACATATTTTAAAAGTAGGTTACAACACAGTTTGTAGCATGTATTTTTTTTGCAATAAAGCCCTACGTATATATTTAGATTGACAGATCTCTACAGAGCAAGGTCGGAGAATAGCTACCTTCTGTGGGATTATGATGTTTTCTTTGTAGCTCCCTGTGCCCACCCTGCCCAGGGAGTTATATTTTCTGCAACAAACAACTGTTTGTAATAAAAGCAACAAATATTATTTTTGACTTTAAAAGATGGGGCTGGGACAGCTTTGGGGTGTCGGTGGTTCAAGCCCTTCGTGAGTCGACTCCTGTGTGCGCCCGAAGCCGGAGGATACAGCTCAGCACATGAAAAGCAGTCCAACCCTTTGATTCAGTGGATGAGATCCCAAAAGGCAGCTCGTCACTTCAGACGGATCCCCGAGGTGCCGGAGGGGACGCACTCATCCTGAGTGGGAAAAGGGACGCTGCTTTTGAAGAGGAGGCCTCAGAAACAAGGACAGTAAACACTCCTTCATGTAACACCCGAGCAGTGATTGCCTCCCTCCTAGCTTCAGGCAGCGGTTCTCCAAGGGTGCTCCCCACGCCACACCATCAGCGTCACCTGGGAGCCTGTTAGAAGTGCCCGCCCGCCCTCAGGTCCCATCCCAGCCTTCTGCCTCAGAAATTCTGGGTGAGGGGCCCAGCAAGCTGTCTTTTCACACTTAAAAAAAAATGTATTTTATTGATTTTTTTCAGAGAGGAAGGGAGAGGGATAGAGAGTTAGAAACATTGATGAGAGAGAAACATCGATCAGCTGCCTCCTGCACACCCCCTACTGGGGATGTGTCTGCAACCAAGGTACATGCCTTTGACCGGAATCGAACCTGGGACCTTTCAGTCCGCAGGCTGACACTCTATCCACTGAGCCAAACCAGTTAGGGCCACACGTTTTCTTTTAAGTTTTTTTTTAAATCCTCACCTGAGGATGTTTTTCCATTGATTTTTTTTTTTTTTTTGACAGAGTGGAAGGGAGGGAGGAGAGAGAGAGAAACATCAGTGTGAGAGAGACACATCAATTGGTTGCTCCCCTCAAGTGCTTGGCTGGGATTCTAACCTGAGACCCTTTGGTCCTCTGGCGGATGCTCTAACCTCTGAGCCAAACAGGCCAGGGCCATTTTCTGGCGATTCCGACGCTCCCTGAGGTTTGAGAACCACCGGTGTCATGGACTGGAATCTGTCGTGGGTTTGAAGTGGGCCGGGGGCTGTCCATGGGTTTCCTCTGGCCTAAGGCTTTGCCACTCAAATGTGCTCCATCGACCACCAGCAGCAGCAGAATCGCCCGGGAGCCTGCATACTGCAGACAATCACCTGAGGCCAGTGAATCAGGGTCCACAGTCACGTGCTCTGCACACGGGTGTTTAAGGAGCAGAATCCTGGCCCCTAGCAGACGACATGCCCTAATCCAGTGGTTCTCAACCTTCCTAATGCCAACTTGGGGGTCAAACGACCCTTTCACAGGGGTCCCCTAAGAGAGGAGCAGAATCCTGGCCCCTAGCAGACGGCATGCCCGAATCCCTTGGGCTGTGTCATGAGCACTCCCCACCCGTGAATGTGTTACCTTATAGGACGAAGGGTAATCTGCAGGAGTCATGAGAGTGACTGATTGGTTGACCCTAAAGAGGGAGATTACCCTGGGTTATCTGGGTGGGCCCAGGGTAATCACACGAGCCCTTAAAAGGAGGTACCCTCCAGGCCTCTCTTGGAAAATGCTGGGGGTTGAACTTGGGTTCTCAGGACTCAGCTGCACAGAACTTGATTCTTTTGGCTTAAAATCCTCACTCGAGGATGTGTGTGTGTGTGTGTGTGTGTGTGTGTGTTTTAAAATTGATTTTAGGGAGAGAAAGAGAGAGAGAGAGAGAGAGACACGAGAGAGAAACAGCTATTGGTTGCCTCCCATATGCGTCCCAAATAGGGATCGAACCTGCAGCCTTTTGCTGTGTGGGATGAGGAGCCACTGGCCAGGCCAGAACTGAATCTGTAACACCACAGGTGCCAGGAGTCTCTCTTAAGATGGAGTCTGTGGATATCGGGGCTGATATCTTTCCTCTCCTCCTCTGACCGCTCACTGTTCTTCTAAAAAGGTACAAAAACACACTCTTTTCTTTGGAAAGGAGCCCTAGGATTGTCCCCAAGGTCTTTTATAGGTAGCTTAGGTGGGGGGTTCCACACAGTGGTAAAAACATGGGCAACGGGACCGGACGGAGCTGGGTGACCTTAGGAAAAGTACTCAGCTTCTCTGGGCCTCAGTGTTCTCTTCCCAAATGAATTACCCGCTTCAGTAAGGATTAAGTTACCTGCTATGAGGATTAAAAAGATAACACATCACAATGTGCCATTAGGTTGAACCAAAGGGAAGTGCCCATATGTGACCAGTTTTGAACTCTCAAAAGAGCAAATTCCCATAATTCAAATTAATCTCTATTTTCCTAGATTCTAAAATATCCTAAAATTACTGGAAAGAAACTCACTGCAATAAACATGCATTTTGAAGACCCATGTCAAATTCAAAAAGATGAAAAAAGCCTGATCCCAGAATCACAAGAATGCTGAATGTTGCTTTCCAGGGTCATCGGCAGTGAATTCTATGTCTTGATCGATTCCTCCCAAGACAGGCCCGCCCCTGTGGAAAATGCCGGGCTGCCCTGTCAGCTGTGAGCCCCTCTCTGCTGGAACCACCTGGAAAAGGAGGGGTGGGAAGGCTGTACGGCCCCACAGGATTCCCATGAGGTCGGCTTAGCTCCAAGTCTGTCACACGCCCTTGGAGTTGTGCACAAGATGAAGCTGAACACACTGTGAACTTAAAGTGCTTTTAAATCAGCACCCATTTATTTTTATATGTACCTTCTACTCATGGCAACTGATGAGAGCTTTCTATTTATGGTGGTAATATACTGTTTCCTTTCTAAATACATTTAAGGGAAGGTAAGATGATTTAAAAGAAACATCCTGTTAATAAAAGCCTATGTGGTCGTGACGCCCTCACGCTGTGATGCCCTCACGCCGTAATGAGCAATCACCAGGAGGCTGCGTGCGCAGTGGGCACGCGTGGGTGGGTGGGGCTGTGTGCATGCATGGGTAGGCGGGAGCTTGATGCTGCATGCGTGGTGTGGAGATGGGACCCCAGGCTCTGGCCTACCTCTTTGGGGCAATCCATTGAGCAGCTCTGGATGGGTGGGTGGGGCCTACCTCTTTGGGGTGATAGATCGCGGGGCTCCCACACTGTGAGAGGGCACAGGCAAGGCTGGGGGGCCCCCCACCCCCACTGAGTGCACGAATTTTGTGCACTGGGCCTCTAGTATGAAATAAATAACAACCAGTGATAATATCCTTTAGGAACGAAAGGAAATTAGACACTTTGGGATGAAGGACCTAAGAGAACTGGTCACCAGCACGACCCTAGAAGAATGGCTGAAGGAAGGTCTCTAAACGACAGGAAAGGATGAAGGAGGGAGCTTTGGAGCATCCGGAAGGAGGAACAGGGTAAGCAAACATATGGACACATATAATAGGCGTTCTTCTTCCTCTTGAGTTTCCTAATTATGTTTGATGGTTGATGCAAAAATTGTAACTGTCTAATGTGGTTCTAAATTAGATGACATATTTAAAGATGGATATGTCATAAATGGAGGAGGGTAAAGGGACATAAAGAGAAGTAAGGTTTCTATACTTCATTTGAACTGGTAAACTGATGAAACCAGCAGAGTTTGATATTGTGTACATGCCAGAGACCCGGTGCACGAATTCATGCACGGGTGGGGTCCCTCGGCCTGGCCAGTGATTGGGGCTGATCGGGGCCATCTTGCCCAGTCCCAATCGGAGCCAATTGGGGCTGGCCAGCTGGGGGGGAGGGAGAGAGGGACCATAGGAGGTTGGCCTGCAGCAGGAGGTTGGCTATGGGAGCACACTGACTGGTCAACTGGTCGTTCGGTCACTTAGGCTTTTATATATACAGATAATACAATATATCAAGCAATCACTAAGAAAGCTATACAGTGAGATACACT